GTAATTAGACTGCATTGGGTGTCAATTGGTCCTCGCGTCAGATTGGCTAAGAGGCCCGTAGTAAGACCTAGATGTTTCCGTAATTAGATCAAATTGGTCCTTCGCGTCAGACTGGCTGAGGCCCGTAGTAAGACCTGGATTTTCCCCTAATTAGACTGCATTGGGTTGCCCGACCAATTCAGGTCTCATATTGGATAAGAGGACCCGGATTGGATTCTTGAAATTGGATCCAATTGGCTCTTCGAACCAGGCTCACCCGTTGTGTGAATTGGTCCTTTCTCTTCCTGCTGACTCCCGTTATTGGAATCAAACGGAGCATTTCAGTATGTCCCGGCTGACTGTAACGAGGTGACTGAACCTGGCCACTCAGTATTTGCACTGGAATTGGTCGTTGCTCCCAATATTCGAGGTAACTGAACATTAATAAAAGTCCCTTTTCTTTATATTTTTACGGTATACTCGTGTTACAACACGACAGCGTTTGGCTGTAGAAGGTAGTATGGAGATTCGCCAATAGTCAAGCAGTCTATCAGTTTTTGACTGTTAGAATATAAACGACTGCAAAAATACACCATAAATCTATACGGATGCCCTTCGACTGCTCGCCGAAGTTCTTTTCGTCCCGACCGGTAGGTTTCTAGACATTACAGAGAACCCCGAACAACCCAAACTTCTAATCTTCGACACCGCTTTATACTCACGATCTTGTATCCATTGATTGTCTCGTTAGATTAACCCAATAAATTTCATTCACTCCGCATACTCAATCCTATAGACACCTTTTTAATTCTTTATCACAGACATAACTCAATTTCACAAAACAGTCAAGAGTAATCAAACCCACTTCATTAAAAATCCCGATTCACCATTACAACACTGACTTCAGCAATGATTGCCTCAGTCTTCCCGAAACCCTATGAAGAAAAAAAATCCAATTCTCTGTCTTCTTTCCCCTCCCGAAGCATGAAGCTAGCTCCCTCGATCCTTCTAAAACCCCCCAAAAACTTATATCCTCCCCTAACCTTATCCTCTGAATTTCTTCAATCTTCCGTCTTGGATCCAGAATTGGCTCCCACCGTCAAAGCTTGGATCCAAAATTGGCTCTCGCCGTCAGAGCTTTCTCCCCTGTTTTTACCTTTAAGAGATCTTTTTATCGAAAACAACATTCTCTGAAACGGCACAGAGAACAAGACAGCCTGAAACAGAATCGAAACCTTGTAATCGGGACCACATTGAGTCGCCCGACCAATTCAGGTCTCATATTGGCTAAGAGTCCAGTAGTAAGATCCAGATGTCCCCGTAATTGGATCAAATTGGTCCTTCGCGTCAGACTGGCTGAGGCCCGTAGTAAGACCTGGATTTTCCCCTAATTAGACTACATTGGGTTGCCCGACCAATTCAGGTCTCATATTGGATAAGAGGACCCGGATTGGATTCTTGAAATTGGATCCAATTGGCTCTTCGAACCAGGCTCACCCGTCGTGTGAATTGGTCCTTTCTCTTCCTGCTGACTCCCGTTATTGGAATCGAATGGAGCATTTCAGTATGCCCCGGCTGACTGTAACGGGGTGACTGAACCTGGCCACTCAGTATTTGCACTGGAGTTGGTCGTTGCTCCCAATATTCGAGGTAACTGAACATTAATAAAAGTCCCCTTTCTTTATATTTTCACGGTATACTCGTGTTATAACACGACAACGGTAATCCGCAACTTCTAATATGTATGTATCTTATCAAGAAAAAGGGGTAATCCACTCTTAATCAAGATTAGACAAAGCTCTGATATTGTAGGTGTACTCTTGTTAATCTGTCAAGGACAAGAACATGATAAAGATAAACAAACAAGTGAGACTTCTCTCATAGAAAGTTGACAAAATAGAAATAACTTGATATATATATATATATATATATATATATATATATTAAGAAAGAAATTACAATGGCTATTGCCAAAAGCCAAGAAAACTAGAGACCCTTGAAACTACACTGGAAGCAAGAAAGGAGTTGATAAGAGTGAAGAAGGCTTCACTCTTGTCTTTATATATACTATCTAACTAGAGGCTACGTGGCGACATTCTATAGGACCTCCAATATGTATTGACTTTGTAGGACACATGCCTTAACTTAGAAGGCAAATTTTTCTACGTGTGGGCCACATAGTTAGCTTAGTCTTCAAGCTAACAACATGTGTGGTACATGGCCAACTTGTTGACCACATTTCTAATCCCAAAAATTCAATTAAAGACACCTATAAAGTCAAAACAGCATCTATATAGCTTCTAAGAAGCTTCCATATCAAATATTATAGAATTAACTTACTTTTACTTACTTCTATCTATTTATACATGTAATTATTGGCTTACATGCATATGTCCATGACAATAACCTCGAATTGATTGTTTTAGAATAGTTATGTTTTATCTTATAAGTTTCATAGATATTTTTATAATTTGAGATATTAAGAACCATTTCAGCCTAGTGATAAAAATTTTGGAGCCTAAACAAGGTGTATTTCACTTCAAAATAGCCAACTAGCTGAGACATGTGAAATAATTCTAGTATACCTCTTAATTTAGACTACCTTGGTACTTGAAGGCTACATCTACCTATTTGAGTATTTTTCTAATTGAAGAATGTATTATCCTATGTAAGGTATTAGAAAAGTTGATATCTTATATATTTCTTTATTGTGATAATCATGCTTCTTGATATTAATCTACTTAAGTAAATAGCTAATAGAGCCTCCTACATCTTACTCTCCATAATTTTTTATAAGTTGTAGATAGAGGAACTAGCTGTGTGAAGGTAAGATAAGCAATAGCTACCACAAGAAATCTCCTTATTGAGTGTTTGAGTCAGTTGTCACAAAAAAGAATCTAAGTGAGTTTAGTCAATAAATGTAGCAAGCAATTATATCATTTTAGATTAATATTCACTACAAGGCCAAGGTCATTGATTTATATCATATAATATTATAAATCATGTATTATTATCCTATTTTTTGTGCTAGCAAATGTATATTGTTTCTAAATCAATTGTTGTTAGCATTTTATAATGAATTATTTGGTATGATGCTAAAATATTATGTATGTTCTTATGAAAAGTAAAAAAAAAAAAAAAAAAAAAAAAAAATGTCATAATCTAAATAGGCAAGAGACCACCTATGTATGTCTATTGAATTTAGTCACCCCTCAATAGAGTAGAGGGAATGTAGTACCTTATAATTTCTGGATATATCCATGGTGGTTGAATTGAAGGGCAAGTTGATAAATATTGAGGTGAAGATAGTTATAAAGTTTATTTCTATCTGTAACTTTTCAAATATAAATAATGATTTAAAACCTAATGGCTAAAAAAAGATCTTTGTACATATCTTTTGATATTACTTACCACATTACTAATATGTCTTACATTTGATTTAATCTAATTCAGATTGTATAAGTTATCATATGCATATCATTTAAATTTTTTATTATATGACAAACAATGTTGTATAGCACAATTCTTAATAGACTTTAATTTTGACCATATAATTGTTTATCTTTGGCTTAAAAGACAATGACTCATAACCTTGCATATTGCACATTTCATATACCTAGCTTTCTATAAATCTTTGATATTTTAGTGGAGCATCACAATACTAAAAAAATAAACATTGCTCTCATAAAATCTACTCTTTAGCTAAAACATCTTTATCTCAAAGAATAGAAGGATTTATTTTTGTATAATAATATTCTATGAAAAATAATCTATCTTAGGCTCTCCAATAGGGATCTATTTCATATCAAATAAATATGGCAAATCTATAGTCAAAAATTATAAAACAAGCAGCACCAAAATCCATGTAGTATGAATCATTGTTTCCATGGTTTTAATGGAAGAGAAAGAAAAAAATATGTCTAAAAGTATTTGCAGGTTGTTCTTTAACAACTTCTATACTAAAATAGATGATTTTAATACATTCTATGAAGGAACTTTTTTTATATCTTTCACAAACCTAAATTATATTTCAGCCACCTAAAATCCTAAAAATAAATCTCTTACAATTACTTATGAGTGAAATTATGAACTTCAACATTTAAGTATAAGTAAATGGGCTCACAACAACAAGCCATCTGAAGACATGTATAGAGACTATGCAATTACTTAAAAAACTGCCACATTTTAGGCTTATGTAGCACATTGAGAAGTTTACAAAGAAGTTAATGGTTTATATATTACAAACTACAAAGTGCAATTATTCATCCAGAACGTGAGTAGTCATGCTCACAAGCCAGCTGCCAAAATCCAACTCCCACCATAAGCAGAAGTGCGGGATGGCCTAGTGATTGCCTGTATATAATCAACCTCTCGGGTCTGCAGAGTTATTGCCTGAGCACGTTAAGGGGAATACAGAGTTGAAATCAACTCCCTTAATTCTCAGGTGAATCTTTAGAGCGTGAAAGGATTGCCAACTGAATTGAAAAAATTATACTTTGGGTGTGATATGTGTACTAATTGGTGGAACATAATCAGCAGATGTCACACCCTCGTAGGTTCCCTTCACATCTTCCTCCTCATAGCCAAAGTGGTCAGCCCGAGCGTTTACAACCAACATCAAACAAATGAGCCAGAAGAGGGTCGAGTCCAAAGCCATAAAAGCAGCTCCTCCGAACAAACCAGCCTTAGCAGTGGGGCAAAAGCCTGGGATAGCACTATGGTGATTGTGGCTGCGGTGGACGCTCTCAAGTACCGTAGCCCAGAGGAGTAGGGATTCCGCGACAAGGAAGAGGGTTCTGTAAACAGATAACACCTACAAATGAGTCCGCATTCAAAACAGGCCTCTCAAATATACTTATACCCAGCTCTTTATCCGTAGGTCATGAAGACGGGTGAATAATCTCAGGACATACATTTCTGTGAAGGTTTTTACTATAGAGGCAGTTTAATGGAAAACTGATGACAAATAAATTTTTGACACTTAGAAATGAAATCCGTTCGTAAAGCGGCAAAAGCATGGATCATGCGATTGCCTACATGTGATTGACTAAAAGATTCGAATGAAATCAAAGCTCGAAATCGTGAAACAAAAGAAATTAAAAGACAAAGAAGTATGTCGAAACATCTTGAGAGAATGCACAAGCTGGAGCTATGTGTAAATCAGAAACTTACAGAGACAGAACAACGAAAGTCACCAGTCCAACACTCTTTGCGAGGTTCTTGATGGAAATGCGTTTTCCTTCATATGGGTACACAAGAGAGACCACAGCAATGGTGGCAGAAATGAAGAGTAGAATTGCAGCCAGGGTGCCCAGAGCAGGTGTAGGATCTTTCGGGTACAAGCAAGTTGTTTGCCCACTTGCGCTGACCAATTTCACAGCCAAGTCACCCGTCGGCTGCAGGAATCCAACGTTTCGCATATTACGTCAAATTACTCGCACAGAATGCAGTATTCATTTACGGTCGATGCAATGCCAATTCAAAGCCCCCTTGTGAATGCTTGTAATTTCCTTATGTCATCCAAAGACCGAGCTGGAGGAAATTAAAGAACCTCACCTTGCTGTTCTCAGCAACAATTCCAAGAATAAAAGCGATCACCCCTGGAAATGCGACCACCAAAGCAAACGTCCCAGCCTGTCCTAACGCCATCGCTTTACTGGGACACGAGAAACCATTTCACGTTGATTAGCGGGAATGGAACGCCTGTCTGCCCAAGAATGGATGATAAGAAAAAACAACAGTGCAGTGGAACAAAGTTAATAAAACCAAACTGACGAGACAATTTCAGAGGACGAACTGGGAACCAATTTAACACCCTACGAAGTTCTGTTACCATCAACTGAGTAACGCAAACTTCAGCACATTCATGAACCATAAAAAGACACCCTAATGAACTCATCAAAATGAGAGAAGGATGCAAAGGTGAAAAAAACAAAACAAAACAAAAAAAAAAAAAAAAAAAAAAAAAAACTATAAATCCTCTACACATTTGCAATCAACTGGTTCTGCCTGGCTCACACTGTGACATCAGCCTACTCATTGAACCCATCCTCGAAAATATAACATTAGGCCGTTTCTACATATCTCAACAAACGCCTGCACTCGACCTCGGTTACAAGACCGAAATCAGAGGGATTTTGTTGTATATTTTAAGAAGAAATACAACCAAACGAAAACAAAATGGGTAATGGGAAACAGAATCAGAATCAGAATCCAATTCCAAAATTCTCATTCCTACAGAACTTGCTGAAAAATCCAACCTCCAAAACATCGAAAATCGGAATACAAACAACCAGATCCGTACATTCCATCCTTAAGTTCCAAACCTTAGTAGAAGCCACGAAAACTTCGATGCAGAAAAGGAAGCAGAACAGAGGCAAGAAAGATCCAAGATGCCAAGGAAAAGATGGTCCAGAGAGACTACAGTGAGAGGCAGCAAACAGAGAGAGGAGGTCAGGGCTCTGGGAACCAAACGTGCAGCAGAATGAGGGGAAAAAAAAAGCAACAGCGCAATCGCAAACGACTGCAATCGCAGCAGATTGGCCCTGGATGGATGACCGTGTTCATATCTTGGATGAACGTTGACAGATGTCATCCATATATCTTGCACATTCTGCACTCCCTGCAGTTTGCCGTGGTATTGTACGTAGTGCCGAGTATGTACGAATTATTGCGTATTTTATGTAGTGTATGGAGTTGGTGCCGGAATTGAGTGAAATGCTTTATTTAATTGATTTTGGGTAACATTCCAAATGTGAATGGTGGAATTATTGCATACACTGGATTCTAAGTTAATAAGTAAAGTGATTTCAGAGAATCATTGCATGTTAGCAATGGTAATCAAGAATCAAAATCATTCTTCTTAATTCATCAAAATTAACATTTATAATTTTGTAGATTTTAAAGAACATTAAAAAAAATTAATAATTTGATCAGTTATTAGCAAACTAAGTTTTCTCCATTCATGTAAAAATATCAATTAAAATATATAACTAAAAAACATTATAAGATACAATATTTTTTAGACATATATTGAATCAAATACAAATAGGTTTTATTTAATAAAATAGTTACTTTTACATTATTTAGATAAAAATTAGAATAATCAAGACCAAAAATTCTATAAAGGTTATATATATTTATTTATTATAATAATTATTAAAAAAAATATAGAAGACATGAGAGTGTATCAAAAAGAAACTGATGTCTCTACAAGAGTTGCAATTTGGCAAGACAACTTCTAAACTTGTATTCTATGGATGAATAAAACTTTGTAGATTATCATCTAACAAATAATATTTAGATAGAAGACTCTATTCTTATTTGTTGCTCTATGAGCGTAGATAGTATAGAGCAAGAGCCAAATCTTTCTTTGCATGTTTGTCTCAAAATTTTTGAAAAAAAGAGATAGTGATAGATGTTATGGTGTGACTAACAAGTAACAACCTTTATTTACATAAGGTCTTTGTTTAAAATCCATGTATTGATAAAATGACATTACCATTTTTTTAAATGTTTTTTATGACATGTGCTATATTATTTTGAAATAAAATATTTTTACTTGGCTCATCAAGATAAGTGAACACATCAAAGAATTTTTAATTTGTCTAAATGCTTGATTTGGATGAATACCTCCTATTAATTTTTATCTTCTCTAGGTGCAAATTTGATGGTAGTTTCTTCTTAGCTATTAGAATTATGGATGTTATAATAACTTTAAAGAATAAGAAATTTTTTTGTAATTATAGTTCTAACTTATTTAATGTATGGCATATTTTTTATTTTACATTTAAGTCTATTATGCATAAAAAAAAAAATTAAATATATATAGGAAGTTGATAAAACCACATCCCAATGTTATTAAAGCCACATTCTCTCTTCCTATCTCATGATTAATTCTATCCATCTTTTCTCTATGTCCCTCATTTCTTGTCCCCCATCCTCTACTTCCTATCTTTTATTTTTTGTCTCCAGTCTCATGTCCTCGATTCTTTGTTTCTTGTCACATGTCCCTCATTTATTATCCTCTATCTTTCATTTAAGGGTTGTTTTCAAATAAACATTTTGGATATTAATTTTTAAAAAAATTGTATATGCCACTAAAGGAAAATTTTGAAGCTTAATTGAAAAATTGTTGGTTGTGAGAATCTGCTTTTAATTTCAATGCTTCGTTTCAAATTTCCTTTGAAATAGATAATGCACTTTTGTGAAATTTAAATATAAGTGAAAGAAGTTAAACCAAAATTTAAATTTATTTAATTTTTAAAATTATTTATTCCTAAAAAAATGATGAACTTGCAGGTTTCTATTTTACATGGTTATAGAATGTTTTACAGATAGCGATTTTAAAAGAAACAATTATATATTTTTATTTATTTTATTATTATTATTATTATTTTAACTTTGTATCTAATCAAATAGTTTGAAAATAAATAAAAATATATAAATGATCATTTTAAAAATATACATAATCTTTAAAGAAATTTTATAATTTATAAAAACATATATATATACACACATAATACCATTAAATAATGAAAATTTAAAGATATGATATTAAACTCAAAACCATTTATTAAATTTTCATTATCATACACAATTTTAGTGTATTGTAAGTTTATCTGTGCTTTTATCTAAGAAAATTGTATTCAAAGTGTTTGAATGATTACTAATATACAAAGTTGTAATTTGAAACCATCTTTAAATCATATTCAGGTTTCAATCTTCTATATTATTTTAGAATGAACTCTTGTCATTTAAGTATTGATGATGTTAATTTCAATTGATTTATTAACTATATCATATCTAAACTAGTAATATATAATCAAACATGTTATATGTTAAAATAGGAAGAGAAGATTGAGATGGGGGATGGATGGAATCAATCATGAAATGACTAGGGACGTGTGGCTTTAACAACATTAGGGTGTGGCTTTATCAACTTCCAATATATATATATATATATATATATATATATTTTATAAAATTTTGAAAATGATTTCTTAATACGATATTTAAACTTAAAAGTTTTTTTTTGAAACTAAATGTAGAGTTGTAGCCTATTAAAATTAAAAGTTACTTTTAAAAAAAATTATCCACACTCTATGAAAATTTAGACATATTAAATAAAGTGAATCTAAAGTGAAAAAATTCAACAAACTCTTTATTGCAATAAAGAAGTAGGCAAATCAATTGTAGAAAAACACTCACCACAATACATAAGAAGCTTTTGTAGGCATGAAAAAAAATGGATTTGTTTGAAGTATAAAACTTACATGTATAGTTTCATAAGGAGAGAGTGTGCATATTATAAACTAAGTATAGAGCAAGTGAGGTCAAATTACAACAATTTAATAGGAATCTTACAAATATTCAAGATTGGCTGGAAAAAAAAGACGCACACAAGAAATATTTCTAAAGAAGCCCCATGCTTTTCCAAACACATCATGCACTTTTTAATATTGTTCTACTTCCACAAGAAATATAATAGCATTTACGTATTTGATAAGATATTGACAATCTCACAGTTCCATTTTCACAGTTCTCATTCATGCAGGTGACAAAAGTCTGTATGAATCTGTATTGTTCATTCTGAAATCAATGACATTTAGGAAATTTCGCTCTTTATATACTACATACTAACTGCTGTAGGGCATGTTTTCACTCAATTTAGTGTTAGTCATCTACATGTTTTGCAAGTGACTATTGCACTGAATGCCGTGTTTTTTATGAGCAAGCGTTCCCGTTCGGAGCACAGGGAGAACATTTGAGAACAATCCAATCGTAGCGAAAGCAATTGTACATTACATAATTGTTTGGAATTTTGTACTTGAAAGTTTAGGCAAGACAAGAATATCATATAAGGATGCTGACATGGACAAGGAATGCACAATTGACAATTAGTAGAGTAATATCTGTTTGGAAGTTTCCTGTTAGCAGTGCGGGAACTCGTGGCACTTGATATGAATGGTGCCACTTGTGGGTTACATGTCTCTGCCGTGAACACAGTCGCCATGTACATGTACCACATCGAAAAATATCTGTATTAGTGAACAACCTACATTTTCCCTCGAAACAAGGAATATTGCTGACAAAGACTAAGTCCGCAGTGAGATAATTGCTTGTAAACGAACTATCTCCTCCTCAAGTCCTCCAACTGAAAACTTACAACAATGCGAGTCTTTCTATGGCTCGACGAATCATAGGTACAAATGCCTACTGAAGATTAAACCGTCTCATGTCATGATTCGAAAATACAGACACAGAGTCTGAAGCGAGAATCCTCAGTCCACAGCAGTCTTTGTATCTATCAAAACGATGCTGAAACTGATCCAAGAGGTGACAATGCTAGTATTAGATTAATAAATACTCGGCCTATGTAGAGCACAACCATACATCGGCACATGAATTTCACCTCATGAAAAAATCAAAAGCATGAAAACACAGCTAATTCCCCGCTAGCTCCTCCCCTCGCTTAGTTCCAGCTAAGACGGCATTAATAAGAGCCGACCGAAAGCCTCTCTCCTCGAGCTCACGTACCCCAGCAATTGTGGTTCCTGCGTTACGATAATGTGTCTTCTTTAGACCAAAATAGGGTACTTCCCAGTGCCAAAAGCCAAACGTTGTATTTACATAATATCATATTTGAAAAAGTTAAGCTTAAGATTTACCTGCAGGTGATGTTACCATATCTTTCAGTTCGCCGGGATGCTTCTTGGATTCCAACACCATCTTTGCAGATCCCAACACCTGCAATTGAAAGTTCAGTAAATATTCAAATGGGCTATGGCAAAAAGAAAATATAGAGGATTAAAACAATAACAATAAAATAAGACTGGGGAAGGATCTTAAGTAAATTATCATGACGAATCACTTTCATCTAAAAGCAGAAAGAGGACTTCAACTCACCGTCTGAGCAGCCAGGGACATTGCCACATCACGGGTAAGCCCAGAGGCTACACCACCATCAGCCAGAGCTTCTATTGCCATGAAGATATAAGCCGGACCGCTACCACTACAAGAAAGAACCCAACTTACACAACATTAGAATTTCAAATTTATGCATGCAGAATGTCCAGATTCCTCCACAGGCTAACTTGATCAACCGCAATTTTTATTACAGGAAGTGCAAAAGATTTTCATCAGCAGTAAATCCAAGGTTGGAAAACTTATATACCTGACTCCAGTTACTGCATTCAAAAGCCTTTCGTCAACAACATGGATTTTCCCTAGTGACCCAAACATTGTTGCCACAAGGTCTGAATCAGCTGGAGTTGCTGTTTTTCCTAAGCTCATTCCTGCCATAAATAAACTCACATTCATCAGACAATAAATGACGAAAAAAAAAGTTAAGAGTACGGTTGTGAGTGAAAATTTTCTAAAGGTCTGGATCACATAAACCTTACTCCACAATATATATATATATATATATATACATACACACGTCATGATAACAATTATAGCACTCGGAGACTTTCTTTAACTTTCTTTCAGTAACTTCTAGAAGAAACATTCATCCACCTAAAGAAGCTAAATGATCATGTATGGAAAGAAACGCACCGGCGGCCGTCTCACCCACTAAACAGTTCACATTGGGCATCACCCTCACAATTCGTGCGTCACCAGCCCAAACCTGAGAGCAACAACAGAAGGTTCAGCAGAAGCATCCAAGGAAACCCGAGTTAAAAATAAATAAATAATGAGACAAGACAGGTTGCACATAACTCTCGGGATTCTGCCTTGTACTACAATTACGCACCGTATGTCTCCATTGTGTAACTTAATGTGCAAGGATAGTCCTAAGCTGATGAATGGTGGTGGAGAAACTTCAACGACGTAAAAGACATCAACTTATCTACCTAAGGTAGAATGATTCTTGCGTCTTAAAGAGTTTCACGTAATGTATGTGAACGACAGATATAAAAGAGCTCACCTGTAACTTCTTGATGGGTATTCCTGCAGCTATCGAGACCAGAAGATGATCCTTCGACAAACTTGGTCTCATCTCTGTCACAACCTTCTCAGCTGCAGAAGGTATCAAAATCGAGATATGAAGTAATAATTAGAATTGCATCGTAAGAATTTAATCATGCCAGTTATTGTCACTAAGTATCATGTATATCACGGATATAAAGATGATGCTGCAAATTACAAACAAGAATAAGCAGCATGCGTCAAGTATGCCTCCTAGTGTTTACCGACCACCGTTTGCTTCTAGGAGGCATCAAAATCATTTTAACCCTTAACTACTGACTGTGAATAATAATAATAAAAGAAAAGTAAAGTAAAAATAAAAGAGGGGAGGAATTGAACATTACCTGCTTGGGGTTTTACAGCCAGAATAAGCACGTTGCTGTTCTCTGCAAGCTGCGTTGCTCCACCAATCACGCCCCTATATTAAAGGCTGACTCAAAGGCGTAACATAGAGGCAAGTGACAAACTTATTGCCACAGCCCCTCTAGAATATGATCATATCGAACACATACTTGGAGCGATGAACAAAAACATACGTGGAATCCAACAGTGCAGGATATCTGGTGTAACCTTGCTGTTGGACGAGCAGATTGAGGTGCCCAGAGATTCGAAGACTTGCGTTCGACTGACATTGACATCAGAAGCGTACATCCTGTCAGCAGGCACTAGACCCGACCTGTCAAGGCCCCTAGCTATTGCCTCTGCCATTTGGCCAGCTCCAATGAAACCCACGCGTGTGTTGGCCGCCAAATCCATTGCCATTGCTACTACCACACTTGAGAACCGCTTCTGCTGATAACGCCAACTACGACAACCCTGAAATTCGCCCAACGACACAGTCAACAACCCTTTCACAGGCATTGTCAATTCAATGCCCGGAATTTAAACCATTCAATCATTTCATTACTACAACCAACAGGGTTTTGAATACGATAAAGACTTCCAACGCTATACTCCTGAAAAACCAAGACTATAACCACGACCACTGCGGTTAATGATGAACCTGTAGGAGATTAGACCAGCGCAACATCTAAACTCCACTATTCAAACTCAATAACAAGCTCGTCGCAAACCAGAAGCCCCTAAAACAACTTGCTCTTTCGAAAGTCTCATGAATCACTGTCGCTTCAAACCTAATTCACTTCATCCACAGCAGCGAAACTTAAATCCAGCGAACAGCTCCCTGAGGGCTACATTCGAAAGAATTAACCTCCCAAGTTCAAATTTGAGGAAACCACATTATGCATTCAAGCCAATCTGAAAATTATCATTTCATGAGACTAAAGTGCGGATGACAATAAAAATTTGAATGCCAATGCACTACCCAATCCCCCGCCGAACACCTCCAAGAGAATCTACCTTCCGTAATATTGTGCATGTGCTTAACTAATTAGCGAAACTCCGCGTACAAGACATGCAGCGAGGGTCCAAACAAAGCATTCTGGCTTCCAAAACCAGGGCATCCTGCACTTTCACCCTCTGCACTACGCAGTAAGTTGAAATTCTCCTTCCAATTGGACTCAACACCAGATTCGAAAACACAATCCTAACGCCAGCTCTCAAGCCGCAAGGAAGAACCGGGCGAGGCTGAGGCCGAGCGCACAACCCAACGCCAAGCTACAATTCCCGGCATTCCCGAACCACGTTGAAAACCTCCAAACCCCTCCCCAGGTCAGTGGCAACGACGTCCACAGCAGTGGAATCAAGTCACGATTCGCCAAGCTCGGCAGCAGGTTCCAAAAATTCCACCTCACCTCCGGACACACACAACTCTAGCACTCTACCCCACTCATATCCAACAAACCCAAAACCCAAACACGAGCCGTCGCATCGCAGACCAACACCGCGACTACGACACATCTTTCGAGTTACTAAGCAGAAGCCAACGCCCTCTTCTCCAACCCAACTGAGCCAAGAGATGGTCAACCGAAAACGGACAGCACTAAACCTCCTAAACCCAACGCAGTACAAAACGGAGTAGCAGCGGCAGCATACCGCGGGCTGAAGGGCAGAAGGGGCACGGTCCCAGCAGAGGCGCGCAGGCAGCGGGGCAGAGAAAGCGCTAGAACTCAAGGAGGTCAGCAGGCGCAACACAAAGCCGGAGGAGGGGACGAGGGTTTTAGAAGACGAGGGCATGGCGACGTGGTGCTGGTGGCGCTGCTAGTGCTGGTGGCGCTGCTGGTGCTGGTGCCGCTCCACGAGAACGAGGAGGAGGCCCGAGAGCTCACGCGGTGGCCGCGCTCCCCTGATCCTCCTCCTCCTGACGCTACTCCCTTCCTTGCCTTCCTTGCTTGCTTGCTTCGTAACGCTCCGTGGCCGCGCTCCCCCCCCCCCCCCCCCCCCACCCTTCCCATGTGCCACTGTTAGTTTCTACTTCTATTGTTTTACATATATCATTGCATTTCGTGTAGGAATGGTTTCATTCTTGATGTGTTGTTGGCATGGAGAAATTGTGAGTGGGTTGCCTTTGTGATGGGTTCTTGGATTGTCATGTCAAGAGCACATTTGGAACTTGTGCCATGATGTGTTTGTTGGGATATAAAGTGGTGTGGTGTTACAAGATGTATTGTTTTGTTATTTGTTTCTCTTTTTTTGTGGTTCATCTTTGTATTTCTTGATTTGTGGCTCTTTCTCTTTAGTTTGTATTTTTATTAATTCATTTATTGATGGGTGGATGTGTAAATATATATATATATATATATATAGGAATGTTAAATAGACTTGAGTTTTTACTAAATTGACCCACCTATTCTAACCATCATGAAAATGAAAAAAATGACCTCCAAATTCATTTCTCCGCTATTGGATCTGAAACCAATAAAATTCAACTATATTCATCATGATTACCATATTTTTCATTATAGGTAGGTTGGTTTAGTAAAAACCTAGGTTTATTTAACATTCATTTATATTTAACATATATATGAATGGATGAAAATAAAATAGATGGCAGATGGCACTTTGAATAGAAGCATACACATATTAATACCTTTACCATATATATATATATATATATATATTGAGAATTTTAAATAAAATTTTAATTCAAAATTGATCATTTGTTTTAAAATAACCATACTATATTCATGAGTTTTATTGGATTACTACAAGCTACAAGCTACTTAATTGCAAGTTGTATGTCTTAAATGTTGCACTTGTCAATTTGATTTTCAATATATTTAATAAGATATTCTTTTTCACATCATAGAATAGCTTGGTTTATTTTTAATTTTTTTTCAAATGTATTATAAAAAAATTACAAAATAATTTGATTAAATAAGTAATAATAATACATATATAATTTGATTGCAAAGGTTACAAAATAGAAATTTCAATATTCTTAGAAATACAAATTTATAATTTGTAATATCCAATACAAACCCAACACCTCTTTCAAACACAGTTTATGATTCTATTTAGAATCCTAAATCTCTGAGAATTCTAAAATCTCAATATACTTTATTGAAGATAAAATATAACAATGAGCTTAGGCATCTGTGAAATAAAATTGTCGTTTTTACTTAAGTATCATCAAATTTTTATATCTAGTTTTAGTATTAATGAAAAAACATGCATAATTTCCAATCTAATTTTTTAATTATACAAAAAAATGATAATAATAATAAAAACCACAGAACAAAATATTGAAGAGCTACAAGTAAAATATTCTTTCATATAATTTTAGCATTAATTTAGATTTTTTTTTAAATACTACACTTTCAGTTTTGTTTGAAACTAAATTATTTTTAATTCTTAAGTTAAAAACATTGATACTATATATTTAAAATATAGTTAAAATACGTTTAAAATACAATATACATACATACATACATACATACATATATTACAAAAATTAATTGAAATTTCAAAAAAGAGGAATATTTTCAAAAAATTGCAAAAAGACAAAAAATAATTCAAAATTTGAAAGAGTTTGGTTAAACGACACAAAAAGTATGAAGCATAAAAACAATTCGCAAGAGAAGTTTAACAAATCTAAATCAACCTCCACTTCATTTTTATTTATACCGATTGCAAAAATAAGCAAATAAATAAATAAAAGTTGGAAAACACCTATTTAATTTTAATGAAGTGTAGAAAAATTCTAAAAGAAGCTTTCATAATTCCATAGCACATTTTAAATCACTTTCAAATGTTTCCACCAGACAACATGCTTCCACGTCAACCCTTAAGCTTCTTTTAAGCTTTCTATGATGCACTGTTCTATAATTGCAACATCAAATTTTCCCCTACCAACTCTTTCAAAAAGCAAAAGAACAACAATTAACACCGCTTGTGTATAAAACAACCAAAATATGGATATAAAAACATGTAATGTACATGTTTAACATTGTAAATGTATCCGCGTAGATTGATCCTCAACTCTATTTCCTGGTTTCATTCCGCTTGTGGAACTTGAAGCAACTCTAGGATCGACAACTCTAAACCCTAAACTGGAAAACCATAGTTTATCCAACAACACAAAGAGCAACTCCCGTATAGAAAAGGGGGAGTGCAGCGTTGTTGTGTTTACCATTACATATCCCAGCTTCGACATAGAGCTCGGTGATGTGCACACGAGCCCTGCCGTTGCTCCAGCCTCGTGTAGCCCTTCAGCTCCTTTCCCCACTCTGCAAAGCTCACCATAACAGCTGACAATATTCAGAATGGCCCATTTCGGTGATGCAGAGTGAACAAACCGATCTATAACAGCAGAGATCGAGATATGGATCCTACGGAAGAAGGTGAGGCCAACAATGAGGTATAAAAACACATAACATGCCTTGTCCTCAAGTAGATCCGCTTCTTCGTGCAATATGCGAGCTGCTACTTTCCGCACCTGTAAATGCAAAACATCCAAAACTTTTATCAACTTGGTCATTTCATTCTCATACATCACCTTCTGTAACATTTTTCAGTATCCACAGGTCTCTGGTTCTGATCGTTCGTATATGGATACGAATCCTAGTGGGGCTTGTACTGGAGATATTATGATTTTAGGGTTATATTTGAGAATACTGACACCTGCCAATCCAGTTGCAGCTCGGTGAGTGATTCATACCTGTCGTTCCCAGTCTGTGCGCAGTGTAACACAGAGAAGGATTAGGGTCTGAGTGGCCAACCCACAAATAAGACCCAAGAAAAGGCCCTGCATGTATTCCGTAGTAGATCTCAGGTTAGCTGATGTTCACAGACCGAGATAACAAAAGAAGGAAACGTTTCTGTATGCGATTAGCTACTGAACAAGTATTCATCAGTTATTAGGGTAAAGCTTGGGTTGCGATGATCTTCATTTCTTATGTTAAAATCTACATGCTGAGAGAACTCTGGAAGACCATCAAGTTCCTCAAACTGCTGAAAATGAGGCATACACTTGTAATGAAATGAAATTCACTAGATTCTTTCGAACTTGGGTGCGTTACCACGAACCTCACTTAGATCCTAAGAAATTTTCTACGTTGATATTGAAAGGCTGGAAAAGCTGACATAATAAGGGCTCAAGGATGACATACTCGGCCTCCAAAGTTGAATTCGAAGGCAAGAAGTGCGGATGTCGGAACCCCCACTCCATAGAAGGCGCCTAGGTTAATAATCGCGCCGAGCTCTTGCCACCCACATCCTCTTGCCACACCTACATAACGCAAGTTTGTCTTTGAATCCCACTAAACTAGCTTCTTCACAGTCCATTCAAGACTCCTTGTGATTATCAGGAAATACAAAAGAAATGACACACACACACACACAATCATACACACAAAGCATACCTGAAAGAACACCCTGAATGCCATCAAGAAGGGCAATGCAAGCAACGAAAGGTAAAATTTCCGCCACTGAATCCACCACTTCCGCGTCGCCACTGAACAACCAGGCCCACTGGTGACGGAGCGACAGAAGCACGGAGGAAATGACCAGGGCTTGCGTTGCGGAGAGGCTGACAACTGAGACGACAGCTTGTTTTGCCGCAGGAGCATCGCCTGCTCCAAGCTCATTTGACACTCGCGTACTGCAGATGTGAAGTTAATCCCATCAGCTCGTCCCGAAGACTTTTTAAACGAAGGATCAATTCCTTTATTGCACTCTACAAATGGTCATTGGTATGCTGATACTGCAAGATGGAAGCTCACTAACTCGTGTTACTGGAACGATGATGCACAAAACTCAAGGCTACATGCACACCAAGATGGAGGAAGTAAATGAACCTGGCAGCGGCGCTCAGGCCGAAAGGGATCATGTAGTTCAAAGACGTTGTAGTCAAGCTGCAACATCCCACTGGTGGCGTTAATTCTATCGCCTAAGCTGTACAAAGAAGGAAACATGAAAGTATAGATTCGCAATCTAAGACCGCGAAAAAACCCAAAAGGAAAGATCAGGTATGAAGGCTTACCACACAGAGAGTGTTGCAAGTTCAAGTTCTGGATTCGGGAGAAGTCCAGCTAAAATGACTAAGACTTCAAAGCACCAGTACTCGAGGCTGTGCAGATCATGTCAAGACGGAGACTTTACATCAGCCCCTTCCACTCAATAACTCCAGCCCCAGACATTGCGACACTTCTCAAAACCAAAATCGGCAAAGAAAAGGGAACCAAATTAATTCGAGTTGGTACATAATGGACTTGCCAGATCATTATGCAAGATGGGATAGCCAAACCGAGAAATTCCCGCAGATCAACGAAGGCATTCTTCGAGAAGCCCTCCCATGTATGTTTACACACGCCCGAAAATCTCACGTAGCAGACCAAGAAAATGGCGTTCAGCCAAAACGACAAGCTCGTTGCCAAGGCAGCCCCGCGGAACCCCAAACCTAGCATATAAACAAGAGTGTAGGAAATCCCCACATGCAAGGCCAGCGACCCTGCTGAGCAGATCATCATCGGAAGCACTACACTCTGGGTCTGCAAAAACTTGACCACGGGCTGTAGCAGGGCGTAGCCATAGATGCTGGGTAGCAAGCAAAGAGCGTACTCGCCTGCTTTCTCGGAGATGTGAGGGTCTTGCCCTAGCAACAGAAGAATGTGCTCCATGTAAATGAAAAGAAACGAAATCGGGATGCACGCTCCATAAAGCACTACAAGAGCTCGTTGCAGGAAGATCCCCAGCATGTGGTGGTGTATGGGGCCAGCCCCGAATGCTTGCCCGCAGAGAGTCTCCAGAGCGCTCCCCAGACCTAGCTGCAGCTCATAAACCAAACCAACATAGGGAAAAATCCCAATCAATCTCACCGATAAGGGCATGAACTTCAAACCTTGAAATCAAACCAAATCCAGTTTCAAATAATTCATGCGAGCTGGTTTACGACATTGCAAAATGCTCAAATCAATTTGAAAATGAACATGTCTTCCATACACGACCTTCAACGACCTCTCTAACGATGCAATCTCTAGCAAGTTGAGAATCCCCTTCTTCTCGTGTGTTTCCTCCCTCTCCTGTATCCAATTCAAAAGAAGTGCCACTAACTTACGTAGCCATGAATGGAATTGTTTTAGAGAAATTGAGCAGACAAGTTTACAAGAACATAGTAGCCTAGGACACCGGCGAGCGAAGTGGCAATCGAAGCACCGGCAAGCTCCTTCTCTCCCAAATGACCCACGAATGCCAACGACACAACCGTGATGGAGTACTGCAACAGGTTTACGATAACCATAGGCCCCGCCAGCCAACACTGTCGCCCCAATTCCTGCCATACGGTGAGCTTCTGCGGCACCGGCACGAACTTCACGTCTCCAGACCAGCCTCCCTCCGCATCCTCACGCCGTCCATCCGCCTGCCGCTGCCCAGACAACGACGCCTGCAACAGCGGCTCCCGACCGGCATCCCAGCTTGGGCTGGAGTATGACCGCAAGAAGGGATGCGGGTCCTCCGTCTGGCTGTGTGATCGAAAAAATCCTCCTCGAGATGGGAACGAGGAAGCTGGCGACACCAGCTTCGAGCTGCTCCGGGTCAGGGTCGGAATTGCAACGGACGACGACATGGTTGAATCACGCTCACCTCTTCCCAGTCGCTCAAGCGTTGTAAAACCAGCATATCACGCTTCACAACAAATCCGAAACACTAGCTGCATCAGACAAGTCGTGCAATACTCCTAAAACTCTAGTTGAGAGCACACATCCTTCAAACCCCTTCGGCCATCTCACAAAAGGCTTGGCTTCGACCCCAACGAAATTCGCTCACTCCACTGTCGACGATCCGCCTAATGACAGTCCTGTGCACAATGCCCCACAAGGATCCGCGACCACAACAGGAAGCTGAAAACACACATCAGCAGGGGAAAATGCTAGAGGAAATCTCTCGCATGGTTGGAGGGACTAGTCATCGAGAGGCGCAAATCGGATGCATGGCGAGGCACACAAGTGGCGAGCGGTGAATCCACGGTGCCTTTGGCTCTGCGGCAGGGCCATCGTCAACGCCGAAGCGGTACTGCTTCGCGAGCATTTGGGTAACCTCAAATGATCCATTCAGTTGTAACATTCATTGTATTTTGACCTTTAACTTTGTTTGCTAGAACTTTACCACGACCTATAAACCTGGATTGCATCTGATCCATGAAATTTGCACCTTGGGGTGAAAAGCAATATCACGACGCATCGAAGGATCAGACTAAAAACTGTTTTAGAATCAAGTTACGTGTTGCAATCAAGGGGATATTGCTTTTCACCCCAAGGTGCAAGTTTTATGGATCAGACACAATTTTTTCACAGGGGAGGAGGAGGTTAATAGTTTAGGGATTCATGTTAACTGAGATCTGAACATTGCTATTGTTAATAATGTGTTTGCAACCTGTGTATTCCACGAGGTAAATTAATGAAGGGTCGAGGAGGAAGTGATTGCTGCCTTTTTTGCTGTCTTGTATTGTGGCTGCATTTGTAGTTAGATGAATGCTTCTGTTGAATTATGAGCAGTGTATTTGTAAAAATCTAAAGGACGTGACAATATATTCAAAATACCTATATCTCATCTAGAATGTAAAATTTCTTTTATATATATATATATGTATTTGTATGCACATTACATAAAATATTTATGCATTTTGATTTGAACATGACCATTACTTAAAGTATGTTTCAAAATTGAATGTAATTTTTATAATCTCTTTCAAAACTGTTTTTTCTATTAAGGCAGTAATTCAAATTCTTAATTTTGTGCTTTAAAAGTAGTAACAATGCATTTAAATAATTCCTTTGTTACAATTTTATATTATTTTATTTATTTAAAAGATAATAACGTTTATATCAAATGAGACATACTCAATACAATTCTAAAAAAATATAGAATTTGAATTTGAAATCAAAATTAAGAATTTGAAATGTGTCCAATTCTTTGATTATACACATGAAAAAAAATACTCGTTTCACTTTTATAAAGAGTATTATAATAGTTTTATTTTATTTAAATTGAAAATCTAAACTAAATAAATAAATAAGATGTAGTTTTAAGCTTTCTAATAAATTGGAAAAAATCTATTGCTGTTTTTTTGCTTTGTTACTGATATAAATAGATAGAACACTATGTTTGAAAAGTAAATCTAAACAGTGGAAGACTTTGAAAATATAGATGTAATCTAAGTTGTTGGTATTTGTAATGAAAGATGTAATTAGAATCTAGTATCATTCATTAATTGAGCTATGATGTTAAAAAAAGTTCAAAAAAAACTTCTAATTTCATTTTTATGAAATCATAACTTAATTTGTAGCTTCTTATTAGTTTTTGATTTATTTATTTATTTTTGTTTTGGTTGTTCAAAAATTATCTTCTCACTATTGTTGATAAATTTGCCATTGCTCCACACATTGAAGAAAAATATTTCATTTCGTCTATGCACATTTGAGAACAAAGTATAGAATGAAGGGCAACAGCAACTTCAACTACAAGTCATCTTTTTCTGTCAGTCTCTTCTTGTGCCTTATGGAGTGTATTACATTTTACGAAGACTTTTCAGCAAGTTGTGACAGCACAACTGTCAAGTATGTGTAATCGTTACTCAAAAGCTGCTTTCTGCTTGTCGAAATATTTGGTGTCCACCTCAATGTGGTAAATGTGATACTATTAATGACGTTACAATCCACAAAATTCACAAAATCCACAAAACTAGGTCATGTCGCAGGGGCTTGTTTGTATAATTGCACTTCACGTTGGAAATGGCTCTTGCAACATGGTAAATGTACATGTAGAGAAATGACATTATCTCAAAGATAGGCAATTAAATTTAACTGGCACAAAAAGCACTGATTCAAACATTAAGGATGGTTGTGTGCACATTTGTTGAATAAAACTATTTCTAATATTAAAAAGAGTTCCTGTTGAGCAACTTTCATTCCTAGGCCACTTGCCAGAATGCAGGGATTGAGTTGTTCAGAAATGTCTCCAAAAAGGCAATAGAATTACCTCACGATTCCCAGCTGACTACATTCCGAGAACTGAGGATCGTGACTCTGTCAGGTTATAATGATGTGCAAAGAATCACTCAAGATCATAGACACCCTGTCGTCTTACTGACCCTCGCACAATAACGGGTGTTGGATCAGACTCCATCACTATAATTTGCTAATAAAAAATAATTAGGGCAACATGCGTGTCCACTATATTTTTCATGAAGTAGCAGTTTGTAACGCCTTAATGCGCTTGCACACAGGACAAGCTAGGAAGGGACAATTTCCTTCCCAGAAACTTCCTTCAGATTACGAGGATCACATAGTTATGATTTATTACGCCACGAACTTCTCCCGAATACTGAGCTAGAAAAATCATTTCCACTTGATAGTGCGACAGCATCCTAAATTCACCAATCATTCAAATCCCCAAACCCCTGTGAAGCTGAGCCCACAACATAAACAAAACCATCCGTACATGTCAAGCACTCAGACCTGACTCCATATCAGCAGTTTTCTGGTTTTACCAAGTGTAGCCAACTGGAACTCTAGCGAGATTAAGATCATTCCTAAAGACACGAACACAAATTCAGAAATTCTCGAACTAATTTTTTTCCTTGCCATTTTTGTCAAAAAATGAGGAAAGAGGTAATGGACCAACCTCCTCACCATCACTACCGCTGCTACTGTCTGTTGTACTCTCAGATCGTCTTCTTCGTGATCTGTGCCTCTCCTTCCTCTCCTTTCTATCCTTTCTGCTCTTTCGTCGATCTCGGTCTTTTCGCCGATCATTGTCACTGCTAGAGCCATCTGCTGATGACTCAGAGTCGCTTCTACCACGACGCTTCTTAGAAGATGACCTCTGCCGACACAAATCGTGACGGATTAATGAAAATATAAATATACACTTTTAAAAAATTTGGAATTGGCACCTGATCGAGCATACTCAGATACAACGGTGCAATTCTCCACGAGTTTGGTAAAATTACCTTTCTTTTCTTGATACTTTTAAGCTTGTCCTTGTCTTTGTCCCTATCTTTGTCCCTCTTGCCTGAAACATAGAAATTAGTTGTTCATTCAGTACACATGTCGTGTATTCCAAGCATAATGTGTGCAATCTATCAGTTGACATCACATAGATAATGGCCACATTGCATTGAACTGCCTAGATAATATGCACCAGTGGACCAATCAGGTTTTACACAATCAAGAAGCTTAATCATAATCGCGATTATGACATTCAGAAGTATCCAGCACATCCAAGGGGCAGGCTCTTAGCTCTTACTCTTTTTTAAGACTTTATCCCGCAAGGTGGCATGGTTTGATCCTCGTGCTAGTTTCTTCGCTCGCTCAGCATCCAATTGTGCTCGATATTCCCTCATTAACTTAGCCTCATCAACTTCAAGTTCTTCTTGTCTCTTGGCTTCCTCCTACAATAGCGAAGACCCAATCTTCAGTAATACCTTCAACAATAGCAGAATAAAATATTGCTTATATCTATGCAACTTGATAATACTACAAGTTCTATCAAACTGCCTAAAAAGAAATGAAGAGAAGAGAAAAGGAAAGGATACCTTCTGCTTCTGCTTCCACTCTTCCCACGTAACTGTGTGCGAAGTCTGAAGAGATGCCAGACGTGCAGCATGCCATTCTGGAGAATGGAAAGATCCGTCCATCTGCGTCTCCTCTTGTCAGTAGCTCTCCAGGAAACACTAACTCTTCTACCTTACTCATCATTCAAAACCAAGACCTCTTCAAGATACGACACTTTTTTCAACAAGTCTATACGGGATGTCAGCTACAAGAAATTCCAGAAAAAGAGGCCTGTGTCATGACTAAAGTGAAAAAAATATCGCAGTCAGTCGGAATATCTATCCAGTTTATCACGCTAAAATGTAAGATATAGGATGACGTGAGGACTACATATTTTGGTAAGACTGCTGACACCGAGTCACAGGGAACAAGAGCATGTGCATAAATTGTTCTCCACTGCCACATCCTAAATAATATGACGGCAGGCCCAGTTTTGCGTTGTAATTTGGTAGCGAAACTTTCGTTGATGAATAAAAACTCTCAACTACTAAAGCCAATGATTTCCAACATTGACGAACAAATTGAATGTTTTGAATAAGACATCCAATTACAGAACATCAACCCAGTACACAGGCAATCAACGTCTAAAGCAACAAAGTTTGGGTCGCACGTAGAATACTGATTTCTTTATCAGGTTGAAAACTTTATAATCCAATCCAACAAGAAAGCAACTCCTAATACCCGATTCCTACTACATAATAATTAAACACGAGGTTTCGACAAGCTCTCACAAGGAACATCCAATATACGGCACCCGGAGGTTCCTCCTCAATCATTGGTAGAACGATATTGAGGGCTAACAAATAGGCTGACAGATGTTCCTGCGTGAAACATAAATTTATTTTCTCCAACAACGTAACGCGCTCCTGAAAGCAAATTCAATGTGTGTAATGCGCATCCGGACAACCAAACATACAGTGGTGCCTGAGGCTATGGCTCTAACTACAAACTCCCCGTTGCAACGACAGTAACTAAAATCGGGGGTGGAAGAATACACACCATGCCATCATCAATCTCTTCGCCCGGACCGCCGGCAGCAGTACTTGTGCCCATTTTGGCCCGCTGCATCGCCTTGTATGCCTGATTCTTCCCCATAGCTACAAAACGCGTCTCCTTCACTTACCCTAATTGACACCCAATTTTATCTCCGCAAAGCCTGCTCCGAACTCGTCCCCACCAAGAAATGGATCTAATTAATCCTCTCAAATCCTCTCCAACACCAATCCATTCCCAAAACCTAAAACCCTAAATAATGGAACCATTGCAAGAGCCTTAGCTCCCAACAATCCAACGAATGCAACCAAATTCCTCTGAGAAAAAAATTAAAAAGGTTCACGCCTCAAAATATACAGAAAAAAAATCCCCCGCTGTCAAACTCCATCCCCGGCTTCAAGTAACAATATCATACTCTTCAAACCCCCTTCGATTCAAACGAACAGCTTAACTGTCGAAAATCCCCGACCCAAAACCGACATTCCACTAGCCTCATGGGGGGGGGGGGGGGATTAACACAGGGAAACCAAAACCCTAATGTATCAAAACACCGTTATGGGTAAGCGTCAGAAAGGACCAAATAAGGGACCCAACAAGGGTAGTGTGGGTGGGTGTAAGTCAGGCAAGCAAGCTGGCTATGGCGATGGAAGCCTTCATGAAACCAACCCCAACTCTGTGAAGAGAGACAGAGCCAGAGCCAAAGCCAAAGAGAGATGGTTGATGAAGAGACCACTTCCACCACACCACCCCCCCCCCCTCGATCAACTGTCGCCGTCCCCCCCCCCCCTCGTTCCTCGAACTGCTCGTTCCCCATCCTCGTTCCCGTTCTGCCCTCCCGCCCGTCCATTGCCTACAATTAGGTTTCGCAAAAGTAACTGCAAAGTGCCGGGTTCGTGTTCACACTGTGCAATATTGTCAGTGTGTGAGGGTTTGTGCTGACTGGTGTGCTGCAATACGAAGTGGCATTGGCCATGAATGAATGGATATGTGAGTAGGCGTTACTTTGTTCCAGTCCTTCTTCATGAATGATCTACATTTGGCTTACATTTCTATGCTGAATGGATTGAATTGGATCGTAATGTGATTTACTTTTTGTTCTACTTTTATTTTACTTTTTATATTACTTTTTTTGCTTCTGTTTTCTCGAGACTATATTTCCTCTTACAAAAGTACCCAAAAAATGTTGCAGTTTCTTTTCAGTTTGATTGTAATTTCACTAATGATTATTATTATTATTATTATTATCCATATTTCTATGATGGATCCTTTGTTATCTTTATTTCATTTGGATGTGGTAGTTTGATTTCTAATTTACATGTTGTATTTTGTTCATAGTCACCTAAATAACTATATGTGTTAAAAGATGGTTTGTAAACACCATATCTTTTTTATCCTATATTTCAATGCATGTAAACAAATATTTTACATGGCATTCTATTCATACATGTAAACAAATATTTTACTTTTAGTATTGCTTGTTTTTATTTTCTCTCTAAGGATGGTCCACAAAATCACTATTGCAACAAGTGTTTTGAAATGTTAAATGTATTGTTACCTTGCTCCATGTTTTGAATATATGACCAAAATTATTAATAACTAAAGAAAATTTAAGGAGATGTGAATGAACTCTTTCACAACTTGTTTGGTATCAAAATTGACGTTGATTCTATTTCTAATCTTATAATTCAATGAATGTGAAAAAAATCTATGTAGTTTTGTTTAATTAGATTAGACTTTATAAAATTTATTACTAAACGCTTCTTGCATTTGTCATTTATTTTTATACTATATGTGTCTAATAAAAAGGTTCTTGTAGACATACAAGAAACAGATTCCACGATCCAAATTTACATAGAACATAATAATCTGATGTTTTCCAAAAGAGATTTAAGCCTATCATATATTCAGTAATTTTGAAGAGAATTTAGAGAAATCAAGGCATTAAAATTTGCTTCTAAATACTAAAGTTGTAAAATAAATAAATAAATAAATTTGTAATAACAAGTCAATCTTAAATATTGGTTTCTCTTAATCTCAAAATTCTTCAAAGAGTAAATTCAAAAAAGAACAGAACAAATATAATTGGAAAAAAACAAAAATTGGAACAATTTTTAAATTACAGAAACAATATGTAAAACACAGAAGTTTGTTGCTAAAACCTCCAATATGAATTCTTGCATATATATATATATATATATACATTACTTTTTATCATAGATTTAAAAAAAATTAAGTCTTATTGAAATAATAGCAGATCAACTTGAAGAGACAGAAGACAGATATGATAATGACTTTTGAAATAAAATATCTATTAAAATTATGATTCAATTTTTTTTGTAAATTTTTTACATCTTAAAAAAAAAATTAGTACCAGTTAATATTTTATATATATATATATATATATATATATAATTTTTAATAAAAAGTAGAAGATAAATTTGAGCAAATAAAAAAAAATACAAATAATCGTAAAGGTTTTAACTTTGAAAAAAACTAAACTGAAATTTTTGAAACCTTTATACATGTTCAGAATTTATTTATGTTAACTGTGTTATAAAAATTAAAAATTAAAACTAAAAGAACTACGCATATTTAATGTGTGATAAATGAGTGAATGTTTTTTTATTCATATAAAGTTATTGAATAATAAAAATACGAAAATATCATTTTTGTAATTTCTGGTCAAACAATAGTTGTGAGTTTCATGCTTAATTTTAAATATCTGTATGCTTTCTTAATTTTGATTAATATAATGAATTTTTGTAAGTTGAGCACCATTAAGTGTGCAAACCACAAAAATGATTTGAAATCATCTCTATTCTCTTTGGGCCACTCTAAATTTATTAGATGATTATATACATATACATTATGCTTACTATGTATTTCATGAAAATAATCATATTCATAAGGTTTTTGTAGATGCTATAGAATATTAAGTTTATTTACTTCCAAGCAAAGATAAATGGGCCATGGTTGAAAATACATGTATGTGTATCAAGTCCACACACAATAGTTTCCCACAACAAGTCAAATAACAACCTAAGGTTACCATAATCCAATGAAAAATTTGTTTTCACATTCAAATTTAGTCATATATTGGTTTTTTATGACAAAAAAGTATTATATTCTTTAATTTATTGTTTGACGAAGATGTAATTTTTTAGACAACAAAACAAACAAACAATTCAAAAAGAAAAATTCATAAACAGAACAAATTAAATAAATAAACAAGTAAAAAGGTGTATGTATGTTCAAATACCACTTTAATCATTAACCCAAGTAATTTCAAATATATTTAGAAATAATAATGTGATGGTTCACAAGGCCGACACTTTTCACTTGCATTACCAATTCCGAAATATTTGTGAACTTTGGCTGCCGTTTCAGAAATGACTTCCTTAAATTAATCTAGTCTAGTGATCTCAAAGAATTTCTGAACACTAACACTACCACTTACGTTTATTTATTTATTTTGTTTGTAATTCTAAGCAGTGTTTGATTTGCCATCCATTTTATTTTCCATTTTGATCATGATAGTAAAATTTTGTCTCAAAAAACTTCATACCTTATCCTTGACTTTCCCTACCAATTTTGAAACGTGGGTTTTCATTATGGAAGACACGGTGTCCTACTTTTATAAACCAAAACAATGTATGAAACCTGAGGTAACCACATCTGTAAAATTACTTTAAGAATCTATTTCTTCCTTTTCATATCTTATTTTTCTAAACAAATATTTTTTTCATAGATTGTTGAATATTTATGCCTAAATCACTGCTTCTTTTTTTTTTTTTCTTTTTTTTTCTTTTTTTATTATTTACATGCTTAACAATGAAGATTCCAGTAAATTAGTTTCAGTTTATTTTTAAACTATGAAATATAGGAAAAAGTAAGAAATTAGAATTGTAAATAATGATTTTTTCAATGCAGCTGTAACATGCTTTTGTACAATGAGCAACATAATATTTAGTTGAATTTTATCATGATTTTATGACCAAAGAATTTATATATAAATTGAAGAATCAAAATACACCAAAATATACATAACTAATAATGCAAGAATTATATATATATTTATTTTGTATAAAGTAATGATATCCATCTATCTAAAAACAATGAGTGATTGGTTGTGGTTGTTAGTATGATCTAAAATTTGCAATTGACAATATTTAAAATTAGTGATTAGCATCGTATAAATTAATGATTCAACATGCAATTAAATTTTATTTCTTTTTTAAAGTGCAATTTAAACAAACAACCCTCACAAGAAAGGATCATTGTTAGTTTGTCTTGTTTTGTGTTAGAAGGATAAAAGAAAAGTAGAACTAAGTTTTACGACCACATTATAGTTTTCTTCTTTGTCCGTTTTGTTGCATTTTTGTTACATTGCCCATTCTAGGATCTCCCATACTATTTGCTCATGGATGATTGATGATTGTAAAATTCATTATTAATAAGTTCATGTCATGACTTATCTTATATTATACAATCACAATCTTTGAATTGTCTCCATTTTTAAGCAAATGCATTGCTTTAAAGTTGTATAGATTGCACTTTGAAAAAACAATGAAAGTCAATAGTTCCACTTCCTCCTTCTCTCTCTTCTCTCCCCCCTCCCACTTCTTTCTCTATCTCCCAAATACAATGATTGTAAAAATACAAAAAAATAGAAAAATAAAATAACAATGATTTTTTTATAAAAACATGGACAAAGTATAAAATTAAGTTGTGGTTGTGAAACATAGTGCCACTTCCTCTCCGCCATCCTCCAACCATAAAGAACATAAAAGTACAAAACAAACTAAAACATGGATGTTGATTTACTTTCAGTCCATTATAAACATGGTCAAAGTTGTCCTTGTATCTATGAAAAAAAAGCAGACTACAATGTTTTTATAGTGATACAAAATACAGCATAGAAATATGCCAATAATAAACATGATTGCGCTCAATATTAAGCATTTGATACAAAACAACATGTTAGTGTACAGTAGGCAAAAATTAACTAAGAAAAAGCTACATAGAGAGTTTTTGTTAGAATATGGCATAGTACAACACACATACAAATTGTTTGTGAATGTGCATCAAGGAACTTGCACAATCTCTTGACTAATCCTAATACAAATTGTGATGTATTTTGAAGGTTGAATAAAGAATATAGTTTTTGCAAAGTTTTTTTTTGAGACAAAAGAACAAAAAAATGGTTTGATTTGTAATCTATAAATTAACAAATGTTATTTGCAAAAGAAGGTGTTTGTTCTAAAGATACATACATTTGTAAATTATCTTGCATTGCTAGAAGATCAAAAAACAAACTTGAATTATAAATCATTATCTTTTTATACAATGTTGTCTTTTTATTTACTTTCAAGCATGTGCAAAGCAATGGAATTTAAGTTGGATCCTAGAATCCATACCTACAATATAAAAGACTTCAACTATCATATAATAAGAGACTTATTGTTGTTGCCTAAAGCACCTACCTAATTTTTGCAAGTTTATATGTATTACTTGGCAAATCAAATGCAAAATAAATACGATCAAAATCTAGATCTTGACTTCACTCATTTGACAACAATTTGAAGAATACTTGGCAGAATAAATCCAGAAGTAAATATTTTTAAAGATATCACTAATTATTTATCTATTGACTCAAACAAGGAATGAAATATTTTTATATTAGAAAATTGTTCAAATCACTAATATTGAGACCTAAGCATGTACAATGCGCCAACAAT